CAGGCGCGTATTTACGTTTCGTCCCTCGCATCCCATCTGCCTAATTAAGGGTTATCCGAGTACGTCTAATAGGATACCAGCGTACTATCGCGTTGCCCACGCCGCTGAACCTCGAGAACGAAGACAAAATCCTATATGCTATAAATATGTATAGGATAAAGCGTGCGCGCGCGCGTCTTGTTCGGAGAAAAATCCGAAGATGTTTCCTTTCCGCGATTCCATGCGACGGCGATTTCCCGTCTCTTCAACGTGTCGCGAGCGGATAAAATTCCGCCCGCTCGTCCAAATGGCTAAATTATAGGCACGAAGTAACGTTTACATTCTTAAGATAATTTTTTGACTTTAAGATCGCACTAAAGAGAGCAAATACGTTTACAAAACGGTGACATAAAAAGCCCGATCATCTCCAAGACGCGCTTTTAATGATGGCTTGTTTCTGAATTACAGTTCGCAACCGGATCTTTGCCCGATATCATTTCCCGTTTCTCGATTACGACAAGCAATCCCGACTATCGCGATTCCTGAGATTGCAATTTTCACGAATGGCGAGCGGGCAGGTTGCATCTCGGGAGACGCGAGACGAGCTGCCTCGTAAAAATCGCTTTCGCGACCCTGGGGCGGGGGGGGGGAGGAGCGGGAGGTCGGAAGTGAGAGACAGCGATGGACTTAAAGGTGAGATGAGGAGAGGGAAATGAGCGTGGCGCGAGAGAAAAGGAGAGAAAGAGAGTATCGCGGAGGCAATATAAAGGGGCAATAAAATCACGACGGCCAACAATACGGGTAGACTTGGCCCCACCGCCTTCAGTTTCACCTTATCCTCTCGCGCGTTCTCCATTTCTCTTCTTCGCCCGATGCCCTTCTCCCTCCTGCCCCGCCGGTACCGGCGGGATGTGCAACCTAGGTCAATTTTATTTGCCATGTGCCCGTGCTTCGTATAGGTAACTCCGATGCGAAAGTTTTGAAATTTCAACTTTACGAGGGACTACCGGGGGCGGAAGCCCATCGGGAAATCGACCTCCATCGGAGTTCGACTGCGAGGAAATTTGGAAAAAAAGGCGGCAGCCACTCTTGGCAACTTCGCACTGCGTTAGCACACGAAACGGATTTACATTCGATCTGGAAAGCGGGGAAATGGTTAGAAACGAAGTGGTTGATCGTTTTCGAGAAATCGAGTAAGATACGTGAGTTTGGCAACAAGTTCGCCAACATGTGATTAAAAAAAATATATGATGGCCGCAGAATTTAAAAATGTTCTGGAAAAACTATTAATGCTAAAATTTGACTTTTTATATCTATAAGTATATAATTGCCTTAATTAAAGCAGCTGTTATATCTCGCTAGCTATAGTATTAAATGGGGTTTCACCTTTGCCGGCCGTATAAAATTAGCCCTTGTTTTATATGAATTTTTTTTAAGGAAATCTATTATATACAGTAAAACGCGAGTTTTTGCATAAATTTATATATTATTTGAACAGAAAAAAAATATTTTTTATTTATATAAAAATGTAATTTTAATGTTTCAAAGTGGCGATTGAATGTGGTATGTTTTTCGAGCTGACGGAAGTAATTATACGAAAAAACGAATTAAAATATCGACTTGACTCTTTTTTCCTCTTGATCCTAATACTTTAACGCATGGTGTGAACTAAAATCATAATTTTACAATAAACATTCAATTTATTATTAAAAACTATAAAAATATATAATTAATATATAAAAATTTTAAAAATCTTAAAAATTTTTAGAGCAAAAAAATTTTTTTTTCAAGTGCTATCATTTTTACAAATTTCAGGCAATTGACATTATTTTAGTTTACGCCATGCGTGAAAGTATTAAGATTAAGAGGAAAGTCGAATTCGTTTTTTCGTGATTATTTCCGTCAGCTCGAAAAACGTGCTACATCCAATCGCCACATGGAGGTATTAAAATACATTTTTATATAAATAAAAAATATTTTTTTGCTGTTCAAATAAGATATAAATTTATGCAAAAATTTTTTTACTGTATATAATAGATTTCTTTTAAAAAATTCATAAAACAGGGGCTAATTTTACGGCCGGCAAAGGTGAAACTCCCCTTAATAAACAAATATCTAGTGAATTGATTGCTAATTGTAAAATATGATTTTGCTCCTTGAATGCTAAGTTTGCATCTACTTAATTTAATGTATCTAGAAATGCCAAATTAATACTGACGTTGATAGATAGTAATAAAATATGAATTATATTAGATTGCGAATAAAAATTAATAATTTTGTAGTTTATTAGCATTATAAAGAGTTGAAAAATGATCATTGACGTACGCGATTAATTTCAATTCTCGTCACACGGCAAACTTCCTACGAGACGGTAATTGTCCGTTCTAAGGAATCGTTAAGGAGCAAAAGGAAGAAGGTACTAAACAGACAGTATGCGCAGAACAGGCGCCACTGTCTCGGCACGAGCGCATCGAAATCATTGGAACACGAGGCACGATCGCTCAAGCGCCCGCTGTACGCTATTATACGTTAATGACGAGTCGGCTAACAACTGACTTGTGATAGCACACGCTATACATCACTTACGTATCGTAGCGACAATATTTACGATGTCGCTGTGGCGTATAGAAGAGTGAAACTAAAGATAAAAATATTACCATCGAAAAATCGGCGAATTAATGAATAAAAAGAAAAGACACGCGCGGCGCGTGTAATTCTATCTTAACAATATCCCCAATTCTCTTTTGTTTGTAACAACATTTGATTATTGTGTGAAAGAGCGAACGATATTTTTCTAAAATACGAAAATTTCGATAAATATCAAAAGTTGATACCTGCAGCTGCATTTCAAAGAGGGAGAACATACGGTATAGGTGCAACATTCATTTTTGACATATGAAATAATTGGGAGGGCGAGATGGTTAAACCAAGATAAAAGGGCTGATCTATATGTACCACATGTTTAATTTTGACCGCGCCGATTGCGACTTGAATGAATCCCCCGTCGGATGTCCCGATGATTAGCCAGCCCGTCATCGCTTTGCCTGAAACGCTATTAAAACTCGCGTAAGCCTAAAGCCGCTGCACGTACGGTCGCGCTCCGCTCCGCTCCGCTGAAAGCCCGGGCTTATTATATGCATGGATAGTCGAGCATCCGGATAATAACAGTCCCATTCGCTTTGAATAATTTGCCGGCGTTCCGAAGTCCGGCGCTAACCGGCGAGACCTCCCTCGAGCGTTCTCTCTCTCCTCCCCCTCCCCCCTACCCTCCCATCTCGGCCAGAAAACTTTCGATTCTCGACGCACACATCTCGTTATTAAGCGTAGTTCGTAATTAGCCGCCGCTAATAACTCACACGTAGGCACTCGCGCGCTTTGTGCGCGCTTTTACTACTCGCATACACCGCGCGTAAGTGGAACGGAGATGCGAACGAGAACGAAAGGGAAAGGGAGAGTGGAAAGGTGAAGACCGGATGTACGAAGCGGGCGACCTCCACCCCAAGAATGCCATTGTGCTTTACAACATCCGCGAGCTATGAGCAAGGTTATTAAAGGGCTGGGGTCGCGCCTAAGGTTAAGGGAGGAAAAAGACGGCTGTGACCGCCGTGCCCTTGGCGGAAGGGAGAAAGGGCTTTCTCCTCGTGCACGTAAACCGCACGCGATCCACGTCTCGCTCGTGCTCGTCGCGTAATCTCGCGCGCAAGCTGTGTATGCGCGCTCTTCATACACGCGGGGAACGTCGAAAATACGCGAGCCGAGATCAAAGCTCGGGGACCGAGCCCTGCAACCGGGAAGAATGGTCCCGCACGCGCGCCCCACAGGGATGGCTCGGCGCGATGAAAATGCGCTTTATAAGACTAACAAGAAGGAGAGCTCAGGCTCTCGCACCTACTTACGAGGTTGGAGGCTGCTGAATATCATTCCGCAGCCGCGGCTGCGCTCGCATAATTGTAATTATGTGCGTTAAAACGCGGAGAAGCATGCTTAAAATGAATTGGGAAGACAACGTGAGGGACAATAGAAAGCTCACTTGTTTGATGTGGCGCCTTCACGAGGAAAATACACGCTAAGAGGAAGCTTTTGCGCGCGTTTTCAGATTTTGCTCCGTTGTTTACTGACGCGTGTGCGTTGCAGTTTTTGGTCAATTAAAATTAGATTCGAGAGTATCCGACTACGCCAGCCTTAGAGTTTGCAGATTTCTCGAGTAAACGAGGCTATATCGATTCGTATATATAATAAATAATACTTTTGCCAGTGTATCTCGAGCAATGCTTCGATTGCGTTCACGCTCCAAGAAGCAGACCGATGATAACGATGAAAAATGTCTCGAACTTTTTACGTTCAAAACGTATAGATACATGGCTAACGGAACACGAGATCTATACATGCGGTTATGGTCCTGTAAATTGATCGCTTCGCGCGCGACACAAGACGAGAGAGTATAAATTTCTCCGAACAAACAAAAATCATGTAATGGCCGCAATAAACTTTCGCGTGTTCGAACCGCTTCGGTAAAATTGCCATCTTTTCATTCTTATTTATTAACCATCAACCGTTGACGCGCGTCGTTATGTGGACATGAGATAGCCAATCTTTAAAAGTAAGTAGAACTGATTGAGAGAAAGGAACATGATTCAGCTAAATTTTCAGAATTTTTATTCCAAAGAAATTTAAAATTTACGCCGACAAATCAATACTTGATATTCAGGCAATGTTATTTTTATTTTATTTGATTTGAAAGCACATTCGTCAATATCCTGAGAAATATAAAAGAAAAAGAAAAAATGCGATAGATTAAAGTTAAATTGATGCTTAATATATAATTCAGAAAGAAGACAAAAATTTTGAAATTATTTATGGATAATGTAATTTACTTCTGAGTTTTCGAAATTATCGAAATGTCGAAAAGCGATACAAAGTTAAGAAAAATAAAGATTTACACGTGGACACGTAATTCTTCGATTTTCCCTTAAATCTCCTACTATTACAAGACAAGATACGTATTCGATATTCGCTGAGATTCACGATACCGGAAGAGCTGGAGTAACTGGGACGTTCGTGTCAGACGCAGGTGCGTCGTCAGCACGCTGTCGTGACACGTTATCGTATTCGCTAGATTGAGTGAGCACTGACCTTGCGAAGAAGGCCGCGGCTGCGCTGGCCTGCGCCGGCGTCCCGGGCACCCCGCTCACGTTGTACGAATACTTGGTCTCCTGGTACACCTGGTACACGTTCGACGGCTTCGAGTGCGATCTGTGATAGTAGTGGTCGCCGCCGTGATGACTCTTCTCCGGCTGTTGCTGCTGCTGCTGCTGCTGCTGCTGCTGCTGCTGCTGCTGCTGCTGACCGATCTTGGCCAGATTGTAACTCTGCGCGGACGAGGATGACGGCGTCTTGCCGTGACACTTGTCACCCTTCTCGCACAAGGCGGGCGCGTGGAGGAGATGCGACTTCTCGTGCGCGGACGCCGGTTGCTTGTCCACGATGCCGTAAGCCTTGAAGTCGGTGTAGCCCTTCAGCTCGCCGTAGTAACGCAGATTCTCGACTTTGTAACCGTGCCCGACATCGTGGCCCTTAGCCTTGCTGACCTCGTGCTTGTTGTAGCCGACCTCCTGCGAGGTCGACTTCATTCTCTCCGCGCCGCACTTGCCGACCGACGACGACTCGCTGCCGTGCAAAACGGCCTTTCCCGACAGTTTCTCGATCTTCAGCATGGATCTGTCGCTCGGGCGACCTTGAACCGCGTCGCCGCTGCCGCCCCGATTCGACTCCGACCCGGTGCCCTTGTGCTTGTCGCACGTTGTTACCTCGCCGTACGTGCCGCCGCCACCACCGTCCGGGAATGCATTACCGACGATAATACCGCTGGCAACGTTGCTACCACCGATTCCGCGAGTCTGATGATGTTGCTGATGATGGTGATGATGGTGATGATGATGACTCTTTGGCGGTTCGACGTGACACCGGGAATCGCCGTCGACAACGGTCTCCTGCAACAGGTTCTCTTTGCTGTTGTTGTTGTTATTGTTATTGTTATTGTTGTTGCTGCGCACGTCACACGTCTTATGGGAGAGCCGTTGTCGCGCGATCGCAACACGTGTTACTTCTCGCGCGGTCGGCGTGATACTGGCCAGATTAGAGGGCGTCTCGGCGCCATGAGTGCCGGTGTTCCCCCTTCCTGCGCTGGAATTACCGCCACCGCCACCACCGCCGCTAACGCCGCCGCCTCCGCCTCCGCCGCCGCCGCCGCCGCCGCCTTGTCGTCTGCCTCTCTCCTCCTGCCGAATGATAACGCGACATAGTAGTCGGCATGTAGTACTACGATTCATGCACGTTCCATCGTTAACACGCCGGCTGTCGCCACGTGAGCCAGCGAGAAAACGGAGCACTAATGGTAGAGCGCGATCGAGAGCGGCTGACAGTTTCTCCCGATTCAGCCGCTCTCTTCGAAAAAAAATTGAATTTAGTTAAGAAAGCAGTTATATTCGCGATTTTCTCCAAAATTTACCCTGCATTATTGATCTCTGCATTATTATTTACTCTAAAAGTGAATCAGTGGAATTATCTCTGATTTTAAGTGTACTTACAACTGTGATAAGCAGTGAGTATATTTCAATATTGTTTGCAGTGATAATATACTGATTCAAATAGTAAATATCACTGAAAGACCGTAAATATTTCACTGTCAAACAGTATTAAGAACTGAAATTCACTATCTTTCAGTGATATTCACTGTTTGAATCAGTATATTATCACTAAAAGAACATTGAAATTCTCATTGTTTATCATGGTTCTATAACTGAAAATCATGATTTCACTGATTCACTTTTACAAAGTAATTGTTCAAAAAATTCCATGAAATTATCGTGTAAAATTTTACGATATAATTATTTGTTATTATTTCAATTTTTATAATATATTTATAATCGATCGATAACTTCTAAGATCGGAGTAGCCCGTACTTTTACACAAATCCCATGAGCGAACAAGAATTTCCTATAAGTTACGGCTTACCTGGATCCTCTTAAAGTCATCCTGCCGTCTGGATACCTCGGTGTACTTAGGCGGATCGGCGTGATACTTGGGCGGCGGTTCCGATTTCATGAGCGGGGTCTCCTGATAGCGCGGCGGCCTGTCGAACTGTCGATACTTGGGCGGATCGATGTACGGATTATTCCGATGGCCGCAGTAATTCGGCAGTTGACACTCCGTGAGATCCGACTGCGACCGGTTCAGCTGATGACAGTCCGACGTTGGCGCGTTCGCCAACGTCTTCTGCTGCTCCTGATGGCTCTGCCTGCCGTGCTTTTGGACGGTCTGCGGTCGCTCCTGGCCATCAGCGTGGGACTTGTCGTGGGACTTGATACTCTTATCGGCACGCTGATCCTTGCACACCTCGGACCTGTCCCTCCTCTCCTGACCGGCTGAGAGCCCGTCGATCTCGTAGAAGGTCAGCTCCTTCTTCACCCTTTGATGCAACTTGTCGTGCTGCCGTAAATTTTCCGTTTTCACAGGCGGATCTATCTGATAGAATGTGAGCTCGTGAGAATCCTGGGACTTGGAGCGCGTCTCGTGGGACGACAAGTGGTGCTGCCGTTCCGGCTGAGAATGGCTGCGCGAGTACCGCTGATCGAGTCGCAGACCGTCCTGATGCTTCGTTCGCGCGAATCTGTCGTTCGCGCCGATCCTGCGCCCGTACTCGAGGTACTCGTCGCCGTATTTGAAAATTTGCCGCGGCTTGTACTTCTCCTCGAACTGCGAGTAATTATAGGTGTTGAAACCGACCTGATTAAAATTCCTGCTGAGATTCGTGGAGTCGTAATCGGTCGCGGTCACCGCTTCCATATTTATCTGGAACAGAACGGAACGAGAGAAACGTTACCAAGGTACAAAAAATTATCGAGATTTTTATCGCACGTTCAGGTTTTTATTGTAATATACTTTTAATGTCGCTTCTTAAAGTCTATACGATCGACGTATCCTTCGAAGTAAACGAGATACTGGTGACGACGGATAAAAGCGTGAGACGAGTATCCTTGAGGAATATCCACGCGAAGCGCAAGAGTGGATTCGAGAAAGACGAAGAGGAGCAAGAAGCAGAAGGCAGCGACGGCGGCCATAAATCGAGGAAGACCGTCTTCTTAAATGCTGGAGTATTTAGCACGAAACAAAAAGCCACCAGTGGAGATAAATAAAATCTGACACTGGCCGGGAAGGCGTACCATCACTATTTGCCACGTCGTGCCTTGAATAAAGCCTCGCACGCTCCGAGGGAGACAAAAATGATGCGCAAGAACCCCATCGCGAAACAGACGCGAGAGGGTTGAAGGAGACTCGGAACTCGTGTCGAAAATCGAGCCGACAAAACCGGTTCGCACCTCGAGACCTGAAGGCCGATCGATACACGTGTATACAGCATGTTTCAGGAATGTGCATATATGAATCGTTTGAACGTTTTAGAATCAACACATTTCTTCAAAAAAAAAAAAAAATGAAATGAAATTTGTATATACAACTCTGAGACATGTTCCAAGCCAGCGCTATGCCCTTTGATGAATCCCTTTGATTAAGTCGGAGTCGTACTTTCTTCAGGAAAATATAATTTAATGTTTAATGTACTGTCTTTTTTGTAACTTTCTGCTACTAAATAGTTTTATAAATATATTTTAAGTTAAAATTTTGTAAAAGTTTATCTCAATTGTAATATAGAGTAAGAAACCGTGTTAATAATTTTTATCCTTAAGCCTTAACGTAAAACTCTGTAAAAAAAAACTATATGTTCTTATTTACTTACAATTTAAAAATACAAACAGTAATTCTAAGATTTCTGTTGAGAGAAAATTTGTCTAAATTAATCAAAAAGATAAAGAGGCGAGCGTAAAGAACCCGAGACACCCTATATATATATATATATATATACTCGCAGGACCGCCTTCAAAACCGATCCGTATCCGAGATCACATGTGATTTCGCTTTCTTTTCATGCGAACCCTTATCCAGAAATGCTGCGAGGCACGATGAACAACCGAGATCGCCTGGGCGCGATTAGCCGCGGCGACTTCGCGAAAGTTGACTTACTGAAGTAACGTCTCTGCATGTCCCCGTGCACGTTTTCACGTGTAACAAGAGGAACGCGCTCCGAGGATCACATGATCGCGCGGAGTTAACAGGAAAGAACGAGTCAACAAAATTATTGATTGCAACCTTTCGCGTGGAACAATCACCGTTCCGACAAGCAATATCATCTAATCTGGTTTCCACGGGTCACCCAGTACATATCCCACACTCCGTAATTCGCTTCGCGAATCGGGAATGCCCCCGCAGGGCCACGGTTATATATTACAGCTGGTAATGAAGACTCGCCACGGCGAGAGCGGCGAGCTACCGGCGAGAGACGCCTTATTTATCGCTTCACCTCAAATATACAATTAACATGTTGAGGAGAGGCGTCCGGAGGTGGCGGAATATCGCACGCTGCGCCGACACCTTTTCTCTTCGTTTTCTCCTCTTCCCTCCTCCTTTTCTTCCTGCCAATTTCTTCAACCCCTTTCTCGACGAAGGAAAACGCGCGGCGCGGCGGCAGCGGCGGCGCGGCAGCGGCGGCGGCGAGACCGAGGCTGGCTCGCGCTCGCGCACCTTTCACTTTTATTATCGTCGAGCTCGTTAGAGCGACCGTTCCAAGAATGTTAACCCGGAATTCGTCGCCGGAGGAAATTTAATGTCCCCCCTATTTTTACGGAACTTCGCTCGTAATGCGAAAATGCGACGACGGCGTCTACGGTAAATCCTAATGGAGTATGACGTAATTAATATACTCATTCTTCAATTTGTCTAGCGCTTACAATTAGTTCAGGATGTTATTACCTTGCAAAATGATAAACTCGATTTTCCATGCTATTTAAACTCCATTCTTGGCTGTTGCGAACGTCACTCAGCGCCGCGTACAATAATTTAACGATGGTCTAATTATTCGGAAAATCAGATTTTGTTTAATTCACCTTTCCAACGGATTTGCACACACGGGGATAAATGTTTTTGTTTTTTTTTTACATTTGCGCATAAAAGCGTGGAGATATATATGCGCCGAAGATAAATATAACTACTGTGTAAACATATCGCCGCTTTAAAATTTATAACAGACAAATGTATAAACGAATAAAACGTGCCATCGTATCAATAACAATTGAGTTTTCGGCTATCCATCCTGGTAGATTATTGGATCCTGCTTATCGTACATAAATCCAGTGACAGATATAAAAAATATTGTACGATATGTCGAAATAAAATATCGTCGTCGCATGTCGAATCTGCCGTACGGCGCGATTTCTCGGCGCAATAAAAAAATATTCGTTTACCTGACTCGTGATGGAATGTTCCGAATGAATGTATGATGCGCCGTTGACCCCGATGCAAAGATGCCATTTTTTTCACGATGATGCCGGATGACGTGTAGCATTATTAAATATCATTAAAGAGAAACGCTGTTGGGGCTTACGGGAAATTGTATGATGCACCTTGCATTTTGTCGAATAAATTTCATGCTCATATATATTCGCGTGAAATTCTTGCATTGAGAAAGAGAAATTTTCTTTGATTTTTTCTCTTGTTTCTTTAATTATTAAAATTATGTTACATTGCTTTAAAATCTATAATCAAATATATCTAGAAATTTCTTTCTATTTCACGCAAATGGATTTTTATAGTTCGATGCAACAATCTTGCAATTATGTTTATATATTTTTTATTAAATTTTTACTTTATATTTTATTGAATATGTTATTGATAAATCATTCGAATAGCTAATTGATATTCAATTAACTGCTGACTAGAATAGTTACATTTTATGATACTTTCGTAATCTTTCGTATAGAACTACATAAACTTTTTAAAGTGTTAGGCTATCTACTCAAGTATCGGAATGAGTTCATTTGTCCAACGTGATTTTTACGGGCACGAGCCACGTAACGTTCGCAAAATTGATAAATGCACTCGACATTTATCTTCATCACTCATTTACGAGCATAGCGGATATGTTCCGATGGTAATGAAAGCATAGCAAACGATCGCGCGTTGCAAGCCTCAGCCTATAACTCATCCCGTCGAATAATTTGGCAAGCCTAACATCCCCGTAGGGTGTCGAAGCGAATCGTACGCTCGGATCGTCATAAATATTAATAGAATCTTTTTCTCGACAGGCTCCACCGCGGAAGAAGGTATAATCGTGTTGTTTACGCTGCCAATAACAAGCTCCACCGTCCGTTGGGTCTCACTCTTATACGAGGCGAGGCTCGTTTCGTAAAACGGGGCCTTCCATAATTACGGGTGCCGCTAAGATTCTCCCGGTGCAGTCGGTGCCCTGTTACGAAGTATGTCCGAAATAACCTCGTTTCTCATTAGATCAACGGAGTGTGTGAAAATTACAGCTATCAACGAGATTAATCGCGTCAATGTAGTACGTGTTTCACGCAGAACTATGTTAATGGAAAAATTACATCGGTATAAGGCGCTTATGACTAATATTTTAATAATAAGCAACAATAACTGACTTCGTAAAAATGTATAGACATAATTAATGATATACTTGGAAAGAATGGTGCTCATATTATTTTAACAGAAATAAATTTGATTTTGATGAAGTGAATTTAACATTTAAATAATAGAAAATGATGTTGTACATATTAAAATATTTTAACATTTGAAAGGCTTGCAACAGTAAAACAAACTCATATTTTATAAAAAAAACGAAGAAAGCTGTAAAGCTAAGATGAAAAAAATACATCCATTTCACATCAATATCCCATTCAACTATATCGTGGTTAACCCATTGTTTCAGCAAACCCTTCACATTTTAATACATAATAATAAATATAATAATTAAAGAGCCTATGCCGACACGGATGTGCAATAATTTTTATTGTTACAATATTCAGCCTGCACATAAACTGTGCGCCGCATTTTCGTCGGTATGAAAATGCAGTTCTTACACGGAAAAAACGATTTTGTTGAAAGGTCTAAATATTTTGCAAAAAACAAATCTAAAAATAATTTTTTGTTGAATTATCAAAATAATTTGTTGGAATGTTAAAACTAATAAGCATTGCTGTAAAACGTTTTGATATTCTAGCAATCATTTTAACTTTCGCACAAAATTATTTTGATTACTGAACAAAAATTGTCTCATTGAACAAAAATGATTTTCAAACCTGGATCCAGCAAAATTGTTCTTTCCGTGTACATGAGACCGGAATCTACTGTAACGAATTAAATTGACAAGCAGTTTAATATTTTTTATCCTATATAAAAATAAGCATCTATAAGAATCCTCTTCCCTCAAACCTGTAAAGAAATTTATTACAAAAAATATCAACTGGGAATCAAAACTGGATCTCTCTGTTTGCCGGGTGGACGCCCTATATATTCGACTACCGAGCCATGTAATATTCTTTGCAATAACTAATATATGTATAAACAATGTAACGCATATCTCAGATTACGTGAACTATAAATTTAACTTGAAGAAATTAAGGCTCTCATGTAAATAAATTATACAATAATTAAATAGTGTGCTTATGTGAGCCGACACGGTTAGTGTGTAATAATTTTTATTGTTATCGACGTTATTTGTGTAAACTGCGCGCCGCATTTCTGTCGGTCTTAAATATTAATTTATTACATAGCTTTGTCAAATGATTTTATTTGTTCCTATCAAAAAAAAAAGTAATTGAATCATTTTATAATCGAATACACTCGATTCAACTAGATATTCGATTGTGTAACAAGAGCGCGATAATACTAGTTCGTGTGAAACTATCAGGTGACTCAATTGAATCCATTTATACCTGCGGATAAATCGATTTTTTTCAAAAGTCGGTGGTTCA